GATCATGTTCATATGTTGCAAATAAAGATGGACGACACATCTCCACATCCTCCTACTGTCCAGAAATCACAGTTAGAGGATAACCCGCTCTTCCCCCTGAGCCACAATCACCCCACCATAAATGTCACAGACGCCGCCACCTTGTGCATGTGGAGATGATATATAGGCTACACCAATTATCAATCTTAGCTGTCAATTATGACGATATATCAGAAAAATGATCAGTTAAATATGTGATAAGAACAGAATATAAAATGACAGAATAAATCTTTGAGTAAAGTGTAATTTGACTGTTTTATAGTTCATGTCACATCCACTAACATGGAGAAGGTGGAGTTTATGACCTTTTCTGCAGCCAGCTACCAAGTGGCAATCAAGATGCTTTGGCTTTGGCTTTCGTGGAGCTGTCATTTTGTCCATCTATATACACAGTCTAGGGGTCTATACAAACAGCTCTTTTTATTTGTTCTGTCATGGAAATTTGTTGTTTCTTTAGTAAAACATTTGGTTTCTGGAAATGTTCGTTGCATGTTGGCTGCACCCTGCAGTCACCCACATGTGTTCCAATGTGGAAACCCAAATGAGTCATTATGAAAACCCTTCTGTTTCCCATGTAACACAACTTTCCCATGACTGAACGTCACAGAGAGCATGCCCGGGCATGACGATCAAGCCCAAACTTCCTCCTCCCCCTTCTCTCGCCTCACCTTACTAAAGCCAGGGTTTTACGCACCATGATGCATGAGCTGATGCATCATGACCGCAGAACCAGAAATTCATCACACAGAACAAAAGGTGCTTACTCTTGCTGTTTTGTCCGTTTAGATGAGCATTGGTGAATGGGGAAGTGTATTTGTCAGATATTAGTCACCGTGTTTGTTTCATCAGTTTGCATGCACCTGGTTTGGCAGCTTCCTGAAAAGCGATTATGTGACCTTAATTACTCTCTCTCTTATAACTCACTGAATTAGTTTGGCTAAAATTCTTACTCCTGTCAGGTGATCTGGAAACCTGATTAAATTCTCATCCAAAATATACGTGTGAATCACGTCTGCTTCTCGCCTCATTTGCAGTTGTTCATATCAAACACAAGCTTACATTCTAATTGTGAACTTTAGTCCTGAACATGATCAGTGAATGTAAAGTGCATCAGCCAAACATAGGACTTGCTGCTCTCTTGTTTCTTGACACTGAGACACGATCGGTCTTCCAACTCTCTGGACATCCTCTGGGGGTCATGAAAACAGCTACACGGGACAAAGGGATGTCTGAGAGTGGATGACAGAATTGACAGGTAAATAAAGAGGCAGGGTTTTTAATCATTTTGGTTGACAGCCCACAAGCTTCGAGAAATACAGAACCAAGAAAAGAGAGAGAACTTCTTCAGAAACTCCAACGCTCACCACGCAATATAAATATGTGAACGATTACTTGAGAGCTGAGTCATTTCAGTTCGTCACCAGCTCTCCAGATGCTCTTTTTCTGTTTGAGTCTGAAGTAAACAAGTATTAATGACCCCTGAGCATGTCCAGCAAACACTTCATGTAGCATAGGGGGTTTATGTTGATGTGTCTGTGAAGGACAAAAGCATCAGTCTTCTGTTGCAGCTCCTATGATGGTCGACTTCAGGTGAAGTCACGGCTCATTTCTGCTTCTCAACAGCTCACTCAGGTACATGTATTTAGCTCCGGTGTTGACAATCAATACAATTATTAATGCACTTGACAAAACAGTCCCACTTAATAGCTTGTGCAGGTGCTTTGAGCCTCATTAAATGATCGTCCATCAGCGTATATAAATAGTTAATATAGATAATATGGAGATGCATCTGTTGACATGGTTGGTGTCATTACATCTGCCGAGGAGGTTGTGTTCTCAATACTGTTTGTCTGTTTGTTTGCAGGATTTCACAAAACTACTGAAAAAATAAAGAAAGAATTGAAACTGTGGAATAGTGGAGTGTGGGTCCAAGGACGAAACCATTAATGTTCGGAGCGGATTCAATTTATTTGAGGGGATGCATCAGGAGCGTTTTTTGAATGGGCTGTTTGTCCTGTGGTGATGGTGCTTGCATCCTTGGCAGAGCTGTACACTTTACTGAGAGTCATTCAAGTTCATAATAGTTTTATGACTTCTTATCCGTGTTGGTTCTTAAATTGGACATTAGTAATATTAATTAGACATAACAACGTCCACTCCAGGTCAACTTCTCATCCTTTACCATGCTTTTGACTGTATTTACATGATTTACATGATCAACTCAATAAATCTCTCGACATGCAAACTCAAATATAATATTTTTTTAAATCCTTACATGATTGCATCAGTGATCCACACAGTGAACCCACGGGAGCAAAGCACCGTTTCATTATATAGCTGAAGGTACAGAACGAGCTGGATGACCCGCAGAGGGCCACGGGTGGCTGTTGTGGCGGCTGATGATTCACAGTGCATATAATTAACTGCAGAATTGGCTGAGAGAAAATAATAGCTGTCGAGTGCAGAAATAACTGTTGTTCCTCCTCAGGTGTTTTCAAAATGACAAAGAACCGTGATTAAATACATTTCCACTTCATGAATAAAACAAAGAAAAAAATAACTGAACAAGCTTTGCAAGACGTTCTCGTTCTTGACTCACGATTGGGAATCTTCATTTGGAGAATAAAAGCCATACAATATTAACAGTTGTAGCCTGAGGGTGTAGATGAGTGTTGCATGAAAAACAGTAATAGGAAAAATGGTTTGTGGGATATTTATCTGAAAACCAATAATATGGAGTAAAACTGTTACAACAGTCACAGAGCCTGCAGGCACAGTCACTGCATCCATGAAAAAGATCATCAGATACTTTACTAAAGAGAAATCCACAAACTCTTCCATGCAGAGTTATTGTTTCTGTATAACAATGTGTTGTAATGCAAAACATTCAGATTATATTTGATGACAGTTCTGTGTTAAATGGAGAAAGCTTCCACTTCTGGAGAATACAGCTGTTTAAAGAATCTTGACAATAGCACCATTGCTGTGTGAAATACGAATTAATCTAGATTCAAAATCCACACATATTTTCAGGCCTTGCGGTATTTTCATGAGATTGAAATCAGAGCCCTGTCACATATCACATATTTACTAATAACAGTCAGTTACCCATGTGGAATCTGCTCAGTCTGCCAGAGCCTGATAAAACGTGTTCTTACTGTTGGCACAAGCTCGTGTTGTCAAGCCTGTTGATTGTGCGGCCACGCTGTAAGATTAGTTTGAGTTACATCAGAAGTGGAAGTGATTGGTCTGGGTGAAATGTAATGCTTAATTTGTCTATAAGTCTCAAGATACCCAAGGCCACTTTACATAATTTAAAAATAAAGATAAGGGTTTCATTCTGTCAGCTATTCATTTTTTTATTCTTTAAGAAAATGTTGTTGCCATTTTTTGGTAATTATAATAATAATAATTGATTTATTGATTGTTCCATTCTGTTACATATGAATATTTTTTAATTAAAGTACATTTTGAGTGCTAATGCTTGTTGTACTTTTACTCAAACCGTGTAATACTGTGAGTATTAAAATAGTAAGGTTAGATTTGCTTAAGTAAAATATCCCAGTACTTCTGTTTATTTCATCTGTTCAACTGCAGCTTGCTGATTTCCCACAGAGTGTATTTAAGGTCTCTGAATGTACCATTGTCAGGTTAACGTGCGCGGGCGCCTCTGATGATCTTAGAGCAGGATTATATCACACGATCAGACGACTTTGCTGAATTCACACTTCTGCGGGAGAAGCGAGGGCAGAATCTGAGGATTACTGAACTGCATTGAAAAATCAATGTGCGGAAAGTCTTTGCCATATCAGCATTTATAATTTGTACACTGAATAAATAAAGCACATGTGTTTGCATATCGCTGCAGAGGAAAGGATCTTTTTAAAAAGTGGGGTTGACCTTTCGCTGTGGCACCAGACCCCCTGCTCGCAGCCCTCTGGTGTATGTAGGGCGTTGCTTTAATGTCCGTAACGGCCTTCGGTTAAACAACCAACGCAGCAGAAAATTTCGCAAACAAGGATAAAATCAGATTCATCCATATTCAGTTGAAAAGCCCTTAAGCCGTCCATGGTTTATGTGTAATATCAGCCCGGCCACACTCTGCTCCGCCAACCAATTACAGCCGGCAAAGATTTGATTTAAAATTTGTTGAAATCGAGAGGATTTACTTCAACGTATAGATTTTTTGTCTGCATCATAAATCCGAATGTTTCTCATCGCTGCGGGGCACGAGCAACACAAACTGGCGAGGTATCTGACATGAGTGATGATGACTTGCCACATACTCACTCATCAACTCCAAACTTTCTCACAGTGACTGTACATGCCAGGGTGACTCAGGGGAAATTGTGAAATACTACAGGACTGCTGCCATTCGACGTCGGTACAGACATATACTAGGAGCCACTGTTGCTGCATTGTGAGGAGAAAGATGTGAAGGTCTCCAAAAAAGAAGAAGCTCAACAGGTGGTGAGACTGTGCAACTTGGACTCGCCGGCGACTTCCCACAGATGCACTGCGGACAAAGGAGGAAGAAGAATGTCAGGAATGAATAACTGGTCTGTCTCTTTCATTGATTTCCCCTGAAAGCAGTGAGAGGAACTCCTGGAGGCTCACATGAATAGACTTTTTAAATCCAAATCCAGAGAAGGCCAATGCTCTCTGGCAACTAATTTGTATATAGAGCAAACCAGACATGTTTAACTCTTGATCTCTTGGTCTGAATATATTCTGGGGGTTTTCTCACGCTGTTTTTCAGACTTTCTCCTGATGTTTCCTTTCACACATGCACAACACAGCTGGAGGTTCTCCGCTCAGATGCGTTCACAACAGCAACGAATCGAATCTGCTGCAGAGATCACATGTTTTTGTTAACAGCACATTAACACCAGCGTCAGGCCTTTGCTGTTCCTCATTTTTGCATCCGTCGTGCATCATAATGAATCCTGCAGTTTATGTGTGCTCCAGTGGCGCAATCGGTTAGCGCGCGGTACTTATAGACAGTGACCTGCGAGTAATGCCGAGGTTGTGAGTTCGACCCTCACCTGGAGCATGAGGTTTAGTTTAAGCTAATCAATGCATGATAGATTTCCTCACATGGCTTCATGATTGAGAATAACTGACCTGTTTTGTAAAGTCTTTCAAGTGGTCAGCTCTCTAAGAATACAGACGATTTAAATGAAACACAACAGCAAATAAGAAAACATGACGACTGACCACAAATCTCAATGTCAAATAATAAACAACAGTCACAAATAAGACACTTGCTGTCAGTGTCCAATCAGAGACGAGCCATGTGACTTACCTGTCCTGATGTTTTCTCATTTGCACAAACTTGCCTTTTGTCATTTTACTTTTGTTGTTGTTTTCTCACCTTCTGCTCTTTGTTGTGTTGTGAACTTTAACCTGTGCTTTGTGTGTTGTCCTTGTTTTCTCACCTTCTGTTGTTATGTGGTTCATTGTTGTGTGTTGTGCTTTACCTTGTGTTTTGAACTTCAGGGCCACCTTAGTTTTTTGTCAAAAAAATATCACAACAATCTCAGTGTTGTCTCGTTCTCTGCTTTATCGTCACCACATTTCTACTCGTGTGGTCACGGAGCCTCACACTTGGATCAGCTGTTCTCACACACAACAGCAGCTTTATCTCTGTCGAATACCTCAACGTTTACAACACTGTGACTCATTAGAGGAGCAGGAGGAGGAGGAGGAGGAGGAGGAGTGGTCCTGCAGGCGTAATGTGGGCGGGGGCTTCCACCCCAACAGCTGACAGTCAAAAGCCAGGAGGAGTGTGTGTCTGTGGAGCACAGCGGAGAGGAGGCGCACCGGTGGAGTGGTGCGCTGGACGAGCTGTGGTGAGGTTGTTGTCTTGTGCGCACTCAGGGAGACGGTGCCGACACTGGATCTTACACCTGCTGCTGCTGGGGACATATCGGAGCTGAGAGCAGAGACACTGAAGCTGCACGGGATTAAATCTTCACTCAGTGGATAGTTGAAGGAAAAGAAAAGGTAAGAGATCCGGCGCGTCGTGGATTCCTCGGTGCGAGCGCACGGAGCGAAGTGTGCGCACAGACGCTTCTTCTAAAACAAATACGCACAATATCAAATAAAACAGCAGGTGTAAACACGAGCTGCTCTTTTTTTTGTTTCAGCCTTTTCATTTGCAGTTAACGACACTTGCCTCTCGGTTTCCTGCAGCTAATAAATAAATACAAGCTCCAGTGTTTTTTCTCTTATGGGCATGTTTTATTAATGCAGATGATTATAGCACCGCAGGACATTTAATTGTACCTTTAGAAATAAACCAGTAGTTCTGGTTCAGTGTTTCTACATTTTAAATACAAAAACACCAACCTTGTCTAGTTTTTCTGTTTTTGTATGCCATGAATTAAAAGGATATATCATGCCGCATTAATCATTCGATTGATTGGTTGGTTGACTGATTAGTTGGTTGATTAATCAATTAACAAACCAATTAATCAGACCTGATTTATATGCCACTTGTAAAACAAACAAAATGTAACACAGTGCTCCTTTAAAAAAAACACCCCTCCAAGTACACACACACATAAACAAAGCAATGACTTATTGAAACATTTAACTTTAGAAATATGAAATAAAAGCAGACATTGTATTGAAAAGACCTTATTCCAGTTTGAGATGGAATAAGGTGGTTTGTTTCCTAACTTTCCTGGTGGAGTTTAAAGTTTATTCATCTCATAAATGATTCACAAATGTTTCTTTTTTTAATTTTTGGCCTTTGAATCATAAAACTTGGAGTCTTTGAATTGTTGACCAGATTGTGCATCTCCAGAAGTTCTCATCAGGTATCCCTCTATCATCTCTGCTGTTTTTCTTCTCTTGCAGTCACTCTCTGTCGGCAGAGAAGAGGCCGCTCTGTTGCTTTTCACTTAGACCATTGTCCTCAGGCAGCTGCTCTTTCAATGTGGGATACAGTTTTGTTGCTCTCGCCAGGCTGAAATCCTCCAGGGTCAGGACCTCCCTCATGGCAGCCATGCTCCTCGGGCTGCTGCTCTTTGCAATGCAGTCTCCCCCCATCCCCTCAAGGCCGATGGTTGACCGGGGCCCACCCTCACCTCCCACCTCATCGCCCGCCGACAACGGGACCACCGCCCACCCAAACGGCACCATCCAGCAGCTTCCTCAGATTATAATCATTGGGGTGAGGAAGGGGGGGACGCGGGCACTAATCGAGATGCTCAGCCTGCACAGCGCGGTGGCGGCGGCTCAGAACGAGGTGCACTTCTTTGACTGGGAGAGCCACTTCCAGAAGGGCTTGCCTTGGTATCTGAGCCAGATGCCCTATGCCCTCCCCGACCAGCTGACGGTGGAGAAGACGCCGGCCTACTTCACCTCCAGCAAAGTCCCCAAACGCATCCATCAGATGAACCCTGACATCAAGCTGCTGCTCATCCTCAGAGACCCCACGGAGCGCGTGCTCTCGGACTACACCCAGGTCTTTTACAACCGCCTGCAGAAGCACAAGCGCTACCAGCCCATCGAGTCCGTGCTGGTGAAGGATGGCGAGATCAATCTGGGATACAAGGCTCTGAATCGCAGCCTGTACTATGTGCACATGCAGAACTGGCTGCAGTACTTCCCACTGCAGAGCATTCACGTGGTGGACGGGGACGAGTTGATCAGGGACCCCTTTCCCGAGATGAAAAAGGTGGAACGATTCCTTAAGCTGGAGTCGCAGATAAACGCTTCCAATTTTTATTTCAACAAAACAAAGGGATTCTACTGTTTGAGGGACCACGGACGAGAGAGGTGTTTACACGACTCTAAAGGCAGAGCTCACCCTCACGTGACGCCTGTCATCCTGCAGAAACTTTACCAGTTCTTTCACGAACCCAACAAGAAGTTCTTTGAGCTGGTGGGTCGGACATTCGACTGGAAATGAGCGCTTGAATAGTTTGGCATAGAGTCGCTCTGGGATAATCTCCTCAACCTGTCCTGTTCTCCCCCCTAACAGCGTAGACGATGGGACGAAGCTAGTGTGAATCAAACTAAATCTATTTTTGTAAAAGTGCATTTGTTACAGGACGATGATGGAGCCAAATATCAGGGCAAACTGTTACTGATTGTTTTCTTTCTGACTCTCTGTCGGAGATGCTCACGACTCCTCAGCTCGTCTGTTCGAAGCCGGTGACGCTCAGACTTTAGACAGTGCCAGTTAATGTGTTGCATAAAGATAACAGGCAGTTTAATATTGTCATACCTTTTCATTTCCCTTCGTATAACATGACTTTAATAACGTCTAACTAGCATTTAAAGATCAAAAGGAGCTTGCTGATATGATTTCCTCAGACACATCACTGAATATGTCCCTTTCAAAATGTTTCTTTATGTAAGACTCAGTCATATAAAACTGATATGTTTTGCCCGATCATTACGATGTACTGTAAATAAATCGTTTTCTAAAGTGAAGAATTAATATCATAATAAAGATGTATTTTATTTTTAGCTGGTCTGATGTTGTTTCAGTTTGTCTCAGGCGATGACAGGTACAAGCATGTGTCGGTGTCGAGGCTGCACCTTCTGTTGTGGATTATTTCATAACACTCCTCATCCCATTCACATTAATAGATGGGGGGTGGGGTTGTACAGTTGTGTACGTGCTATCTGTCACATGCTCATAAAACTTAAGTGCAGCTCTATCATCAATCTTAAGCTGTGGTGAATTTGGCAAGCAGCTACAAAAGCAAAACTTTGCAGGTTGCAGTCTGATGAGACGACCAATCATGATCAGTTGCATTAACGTCTTTACACATTGAATTTACTGTCATGAAATATGATTAGTGTAAGAGAATTGGGCAGATAAGGGAACTCAGATTCGAGCACAATCTAACCCCCCTCCCCAAAAGTTGTTAAGTTGTTTATGCCTAAGGGTTCGATCTTCTTACTCTGTTTTTTTTTTTCAGAGAGGAAAGGGATTATTTATTCAAATCTTATTGCTGCTTTGAAAACATCAGCAGCTCCGTCTCAAAGACATTAAGCTAAAAAAAAAAACACAGTAGCGTTTCATATTTGAATGTGGCCTAGATTTACTCAGGGGCTTACTGAGACTGAGCAGCCAGGATCACAACCTCAATGCCCCTGAAATGCAAACCAAAGCAAAAAATGTCTTTCTCCTTATCCAGCTCTTTTATTATTATTATGCCCTCAGAGAGCAGGAGAATTATTCCCTCATCTACCTACAGTGTTTTAAATGGTAGTGTTGACTATCAACAGCTGTCGGTGGAACAGGTTTGGCTGCATGTGTTGGGGAAAAACAGGATGTGAAGATGGGTATGAGGTGGTTGCTGGTTTGTGGTGTGTTCTGCTCTCAGCGTCGTCTGGAAGGTGTCAGGTCTGCAGAGGATGCTTAAAGAGCAGTGACATCTGGAGGGACGCACAAGCACACAGACATTTCCTCAATTTCAAGAATGTCAATGTCAGCTTTCTCTGGGTTGAAGAAGGATTGATGCAGTTTCCTTATAAACCAGTTCGACCAGGATATAAATGTATCTCTTGTGGCCTGAAATAACTCTGTATATTTACTGTACTTAAGTACAGTTCTGAGGTATTTGCTCTTCACTTTAGTATTTCCATATCCTGCTGATTGATCGCTTATAAAAAACTGTACTATCTTGGGGCTATTTGTCATGTTGTTTCTTTTTCTTCTTCTTCTCCTTTTTCCTCGACACACATCTCTTACAATCAGAGCCAGGTCACACAAATGCAAATGTTTTAGTGGCAAACCTTTGTCCAGATCTGCACCGAAATCTACTACGTTCTTTTTTGGCACATGTCCCATCCTCTATGGAAATCTATTTTAGAAGTTTTTTCCTGATTCACCTCCTGTTAATTTCCAGTCAGTGCAAGCGATGGGAAAAAATATAACATTCACTTCCTGTGGTGAGGGAAATCGCAGCGGAGCTTCACCTGGAATTCAGTGAACTTTGACATGTGATATTTGCTTCGCGGATGTGTGACCATCCCCACACTGAGATATGTCGTGTGCCAATGGGTTAAACTACCAAACTATGTATG